CGTAAGACTTTGACCCCGGCTTCTTTCAGTCGACTGTGGTTTCTTGCTGGTTCTTTCTGGTTCTTTGCTGATTTCAGCACCATCTCCAAGGTCTTGCTTGTGCTTTATCTCCAGACAATAGCTGGTGGGCTGCATCTTGTTCTTCTTACACAATGCACTCTAATACTACGACTTGTTAGAAAACTGCTTACCTAAGCATTTGCAATATTATTTTTAATATATCATTCTATCTTGTGACCAGCAGCTTTTGCTGAGACACAGATTAAAGCCTTCATTCAGATGCAAATCCAGTGCTCCCCAAGGTCCAAATCCTGTCACCCTAAGAACACCTAAAGCAGTCTGGAGGTTTAGGGAGGAACTAAGGGGAGGAGGAGGTTCCTAAGGGCCCAGGGAGTGTTCCAGAGCCTAGTGAGGGGCTGAGAGCATGGGGCCAATGAGGGTCCAGAAACCCCAGAAGGAAGTTTAAATGAAAGATAACATAAATGAGGATGCTATCTGTGAGGCATGGGGTATGGTGTAGGGAAGGAACAGACTCATGCAATTAGCCTGTAAGGTAGAACCCATCATGCACCTGGTGGTCAGTTTTGAGAGAACAATTTAGGAAGCCCTGCAGCAGCCTCTCATTAAAATAACTAACATCAAGGAGTGGTGGGTGAACTGAAGGGGTGATTACCCACGAGGTGAGGGAGGTCTGCAGGGGCTTCACAGCCACCCCTAGAAAGGCACTGTGCCACAGCTATTTTGCAGCTGATGTCTTGCGGCTGATGTCCATTTGCTTAAGAAGGCAGAGCACAGGCATCCTGGAGGTGCCTATGCTGTCTAGCCACCCAAGGTAGGCATTCCTGGGGCTTGCGGGCCTGAGACTTCTGCACCCCAGTAAGTCCCATTGACCAATCAGCTGATTTCCACTCCCACCAATTCCCAGGGCATGCAGGATCAGGCCCCTCAAACCCCAGGAATGCCTGTGTGTGGGTTCCCCTGTTTGGGATTCCCAGCATACACATCGACACTGATGGGGTTCTAGGGCTGACTCTACCAGTCAGCTCAGGACTACACTAGAGAGAGTTCAAGAGTCTAGCTGTGCGTCTCTACAAAAGAGAAACCTTGGGTTTCCTTGCTAGCAGAGGAACACCCGGGGTTTCCCCAGGTATGCTTCTGCTAGCAGGGAAAACTAGAGGTTCTCCATTTGCCAGAGGGGTGTCCTGAGTTGTCCTGCAGAACTGGGCCCTGACTACTCCCAGGATTAGCAGGAAACTGACCCTGTGGGACAAGGGAAAATGTCTGTTCTGTTCAGTGACATCTGTTTATATCTTTAGAACAGCACTGAGCATGATCTGAGAGAGATTAAGAGCAGTTTTAAATGAAAGTTATTTTTCCCCTTAGCTTTCTTGGGCATATATCCCCATGAGTACGCCTGTGCAGTTGGTGGTACCACACGCCTGTCTGCAGTGCCACAAACCACACGTGCTGCACATACAAGTGTTCACCGTGCTGCTAATTCACAGTGTGGTGGGCTTTTTTGACACAGGGGAATCCAGAAAAAAGCACCAGAAAAAAGCGAGGCAGTGCATGTGGCAGCAGCATGTGTCACTTGAAACCAGAACCTGGCCAGCCAAAGCATGCCAGGCAGGCTCCAGTTGTCCAGAGTGCTACTGCTGGAGCCCTGGGATGCCTCCAGGACTCCAGATATGGCTTCTGGTGCTTGCCCCAGCATCTCCTACCCTATGCAGGGCAACTTTCCATGCGCCAGAGTGCACATGCAGGGGCGTTCCCGTGACAACTAGCAGTGGCACAATGCTGTTTGTCTCTGAGGGATGCACGTTGCTACTCATGGGGATGCACCCCTTAATTTTATCCCTATATAGTTGTACCATTCTTTTAGACCCCTCTTTATTAGGTGCTTTTGTTTCTGCTTATGGTTTACAGATCATTGACAAGCTCCTGATGCGACATGAATGGTTCTTACATATGCTTTAAAAAAAAAATTTTCATCAGGATATTTTGTCATTGTGCCTTTAATATAGTCATTTTTCAGAAACTGACGGCTATCCTTCACTTTATTTCTTAAATAATCCCCTGACTTTCTAAGAGATCCTATTGGCCAAATTCCTGAGTTTGTGGAAGTCTGATTTTCTGTAGTCCATTATCTTTCCCCTGCTGTTCTCACGTCTTCATTTCCTTACAATAGGGAGCTCTATTATCTTTTCATAAAGACTTTTACCCAAATGACCTTCCATCTTTGAATTCTCAATCAGGTCCTCTCTACTAGTCATAAAATGAGTTTCACATAAAAGTAATCCTTCCAGGAAAGTCATGCAAAATGCTGTTGGAGAACCCAGGAGTACAACTACTGGTATGATTGCTTACATTGTAATGCATGGAGAAAATGCACTGTGAACTTTGCATTCAGAGCACTTAATTGGGAAAAAGATAGCTGATTCTTCAGGCTTTGCACAAATGGCTATAATAAATGCTTCAGCAGGTCACTGTATATTAGAGTTGCAGTTATAAAAGGTTGATACTGTATACAATTGTTAAACAGTCCAACATGTCAATGTATAGATTACAAGTAACACGTGCCGGTGTGCTTAGAATATTTATTAATAGAAAATATTTACATCTGTAACATGCTCATAATATCTATCAATCATGTATTAAAACACAGCAAATTACATATAAATGGCACCTCTATACAAAGTGCAGCTATTTGATGTTTACTTTTTGCCACTAAATTAATAGAAACATTTAAGCTTTCTGTCATAACATACAGAACCTTGTGAAACATTTCTGAAAACCTGAAATTTCACAGAACTTTCTTGGCTTCAGGAATGACATTGCTGTTTACGTGCATCTTTTTTTTTAAATCTGAATTCATAGAAATGAAAAAATAAAGGAATGGAAGAGTCTTAAAAAATCAGGCATCATCAAAGTTAGTGTTTAACAGCAGTTTGGTGACCATTTTCCTGAAATGCTTATTTGAACCTCAATTCAAACTCTCAATTCAAAGACTTTCTGAGGGTCACAAAAAGTTAGTTCTTAGTTTCATGGGAAATTGAATGGTCTTTAGAGCGAACCTGAACCAGTGTGTGATTTCTTTTTTAACACTGAAAACATGAGAGTTTTTTAACCAGTCAGCCAGCAAAATTTGGTTTCAGTAGAGGTTTGCTATATTTCAGGATCTTGAAGGTGCAAAAAGCCTCATGCCTCTCTGTCCAATATTAAATCAAATTAGATCTGCAAGATAATTAATCAGTCATTTTAACTTTTTATTACAGACTTCCATTGAGACTCTTCAATCAGGTTTAAGAATTGGGAGCTACTTAATTTATAAAAAAATATCAGCAGCCAGTATATTTTTTCACACATGTACACTATATGAAATTATAACATACAATTACAGAACAGCTATGAAAGCAGTGTGATTATGGAACAATAGTAAATTACCTTCCTGAGTTAAAAATAACACTACACATTAATTAAATATTTTTAAACAATTAATATACCATGAGAATCTGAGCAGATGAGTAATGTTGATATTGTGTGGTAATGATGTTTGCATTTTCAAGCAATTTTACTGTGTCAGTGTTTGAACAATGTGCATAGCTGAGGCAGAAATGAGCTACAAAGAGCTGTGTTGATTTCTAAACACAAAGTACATTTTTAAACGTTGATGCAGAATTTGCAAATACCTGGTACCTGTTTTGGATTCTATTTGTCAACACTTTTCCTCTCTCCTATTCAAAGCTGCACATCTTTCTTCATGATTTGCAAACAATAGGTGATGAAAGAAGTGATGATATGTGATACCATGAAATGGTGATTTGGCTGTCTTTTGAATTAGGATTTAGTTGACAACATAAACAGCTTCTCTTGCAAATGTGCCTCACTGGAGGATCAACAAGCAGTTGACTCTGGTGTAGTGCTGTAATGCTACTTCAGTCATCACCAGGATTGATATACAAATCTATCATAGAATATGCAAATAACAGTGAAAGGTGCAAGCCAATTGGTATTTCCTAGGTATTACAAACAAGAGTTGGCTTATCCAGACTACAAAAAAAAATCATGACCTTAGTATGGCATTGGTGTAGGGAATGTTTTGTTGAAAGTTATACAGTTGAAACTGCGCAACTGCCAAACCTAGGTTGCCAGTTCCATATTCCTACCCAGGTTTGATATTGGAACTCTTGTCAGCCTTGCTCAGTGCTTGAGTGTTGTAAAGGATATGTTATCTCTTTGACAGGTGTCCCAGAAATACTCATTTTCAGTGAAAACTAACAAGAAGGATAATTTGTAAGTTATAATTAAAAAGTAGGTTATCCACCTGCAGCAGAAGCACACTAATTTTATTTCTACTGTGGTTACTTTAGAAGTTTTACTTTCATCCTGATAACAGCTAGTTTCCAACTGTGCTGTGTTAACAAAACAAACCAACCTCCCCCCCTTATTAATACATATAGATGTCATTATTTGAAATAGGAAATGGGAACTTACATTTTTTTTCTCTGTCTCCATCACAGCAGTTTTTATACACATTTAACTACCATGCTTAAATCAAAGAGGAATCTTTTCACCATTTGCTAAGGATAACTCTTCTGGCTATAGTTAAATCTAAGAGTAGTCACTTGAGTATGTCCAAGAGAGAGCATTCAGTAGTGAACCCATAGATGCAAATTCTGTCTGAGAATTTACCCAGACAGACAATTTAATGTGGCAACCAGCATTTCAAACTACTGGTACTTGTTGTTAAAGCTTTTTAACTGAAGGCACACTTATAATTCCTTCTCTATCAATAACAGTATTGATTCAATATAGGAGCCTATTTTCTTTCCATTAATGCTAAAAAATGACTGTCACACTCACCTAAATAGTCCCCAGATTGACAAATATAAAACAAAAGTGCTGCAAGGACTAAATAACCCCACTAGACTTCTCCATTACTTCAAGTCTGAAATAACTAGAAAGAGAATTGCTAACCTTTCTCCCACTTCTTTTACCAGGTCCCGGACTGGCATTTTTAGCTTATCCAGAAGCAGTGACACAGTTACCGATCTCTCCTTTGTGGGCAATTCTGTTCTTCTCCATGTTGCTTATGCTTGGAATAGACAGCCAGGTAATGTTGTTTTTAAACAGCAATTAATCCTAATAAAGGCAGATTATTTTTCTGTATGACATGAGACAGTAAATTTTCCCATATACTGTATTTACCTGAATACAAGACGACCCCAAATTTAAGATGGCCCACCAATAATTAGATTCTATTAATGGGAAATGTATACATTTGTTATAATTTTCCACTTATAGAATTTTACTTTTGGGGCATCATCTTAAATTTATACCCACTACCACTGCAGGTGGTGAAGGGACAGATTAAGAGGAAGTAATGGGGCAGGCAGTGAAGGCACAGACATTGTGGGGGGCAGTAAGGAGATAGGTGGTAGGGGCGGCATGCAGCTTGCCCCATGCAACCTGCCCCCCCACCACTTACCCCTTCTGTACCTACCTCCTACAGCCTCAGGTCTGTCACCCTCTTCTGCCCTCAGTGTTGCTTCTGCCCCCCCTCAGCCTCAGGCCTCAAGCCCCCCTTTCTCTAACCCCCTCTTTCCCCTCTGTGCTGCTTCTGCCCCCTGCATCCTTGGGTCCCTGCTCCTCCTTCCCTCTGTCCTTGTCCTTACCCTTGCCTGCCCCTCCTCCTCCCTCTTACCCTTGCTCCAGCACCAGCAGACTCCATTCCTGCTGTAGCCTGAGGCATGAAGCACAGCTGTTACAGAACCAGGCCATACTCCATGCTCCAAGCTTCAGTGGAGACAGAGCCTGCCAGCACCAGAGCAAAGGTAAGGGGGGTGCAGCAGGGGAGGGAGAAGCAGCATGGTGGGGAGGGGGAGGAGCAGCAGGGGCCCATGCTGCAGGGGAGGAGCAGCAGGGGGGTACAGAGGTGGCTGCCCCCCACCACCTTATACTCAATTGTAAGATGAGGGGCTTCTCTCCTCCCCATGTTAAATGGGAGGGAAAAGTCATCTTTTAATTGAGTGAATATAGTATATCCCACATCAAGATATCCCTGGGTATAGGAGCACATCTAGTGCAATGGGGTAGCTAGCAGGGGTAAGGGACCAGCAGAAACAGGATAACCAATTGGAACTAAGCTACTTTCCTTTCCACAAAAAACCCCAGAGTTAGTAACTGCAGGTACAGAATGCAGGATGCTGAGATGGTGAGGTGGATGGAGCATCCTACAAGACTGTGGGGAGCTCCCCAGCATGCTCAGCAGTAGACCTGGAAGTGGACCAGAAGCACTTCCCCACCCCCCACCTCCTCAGCTCAGCAGGGGTGGGGGAACTGCGCACCCCCCACCGCTGCACCTCCTCAGCTTGGTAACTGGTGCCTCCTGGGTCTGGGGTGGGGGGCACATGGGCTCTCTCCGTGGTTGATTGCCAAGCCAGGGAGGCAAGGGGAGAAGGGCTGCGCATGCTCCCCAGCAGACCTGGAAGTGGACTGGAAGTACTTCCAGTCTACTTCTGGATTCACCGCCAAGCACATGGGGGGGGGTCCCCTGTGCTCCTGTGGGACGCTTCATCCACCCCCCCATCACAGTGATTGTGAGCCACACTGGTACATTGTATGTATTAAAAACCTTTTAAAGCCATGTCTATGGTCAAATTGTTGATTCTCTGAATCAGGATCAAATCTTTGGATTTGGCCGAATCAAATTGGGGACAGTGATCTGAATCAACAAGTCAAATCACTGTCCCTGATACAGGCTGAATCCAAATCAAATAGGACTTGTTTCACATACACCTACTGCTTATATATAGCTAGCATTTGACTAGTCATTACTAATAAGAACAAAACACTTCATTTTCTTGATAACCAAAATTACTTCAGCCCTCTCTAGGAAGCCACATTTCAACAAAATCCACCAAAACATAAGTAACTGTTAAATCTTATTATTGGTATATTTTCATTAAGATTGAAGTTCACTGAAAAACAGTGAAGTATCTCATACAGTCTGGGAAGAAATACTGTGAAAGTAATTAGACCAAAATATTCATGATAGATCTTGTCCCTAGGCTACAGTAACAGCTGAAGAAGTAGCCTAATATTATTATAAATCAGAGAAAATTAGGGTTGGAAGGTACCTCAGGAGGTCATCTGGTCCAAACCCATGCTCAAAGCAGGACCATCCTGAACTAGATCATCCCAGCCAAGGCTGTCTACCCAGGTCTTAAAACCCTCTAAGTATGGAGATTCCACAACATTTCTCAATAGCTTGTTCCAGTGCTTTGCTACTCTCCTGGTGAGGTTTTTTTTCCCCTAACATCTAGCTTAAACTTCCATTGCTGCAAGTTAAGACCATTGCTCTTTTGTTTGTCATCTGCCACCACTGAGAAATCTAACTCCATCCTCTTAGGAACAACCCTTCAGCTAGTTGAAGAATGCTATTAAATCCTTCTCAGTCTTTTCTTTTCCAGACTAAAGAAGCCCAGTTCCCTCAGCTTCTCCTCCTAAGTCATGTGCCCCAACCCCCTAACCATTTTCATTGCTCTCTGCTGCACTCTCTCCAATTTGTCCACACCCTTCTGTAGTGTGTGGGGGGTGGGGGAAGGGGAAGAGTCAGGGGGGCAAAACTAGACACAGTCCTCCAGATGTGGCTTCACCAGTGCTGAATAGAGGGGAAATAATCACTTCCCTCAATCTTCTGGCAACATTCCTAGTAAAGGGGCTCCTGGAGTCCACCAGGTTGCAGCCCCTGCACCTCTTCCTCCAGAACCACTTACTGAGGTTCTGGCTGCACTTTTTTCCTCACTTGTTTACTTTTTCACTCCCCATCAATGGCCCCACCAAAGCCTGGGACCTCTTGGTTAACCTCCTCCTAGCCCTGCCCAACCTGGCTTTCATGTCACCAGGAAGGAGGCTTTGCCCAGGAGGGTCCCCAGGCACTGTGCAGCCATTTTCTTGGGTTTTCTCTGGTCCTGTCTCTGGGCAAAGTGTCACTGGACAGTAGCTGCTGGCTCTATAGCTGGCGTTTGAGAGTTGGTGGGTGGTAACTGGGGTGCTCTGCTTGGTGTCCCCTGAGGGTGCACTTGTTTTGACACTCTGACCCACTTGTACTTCCCTTTTTGTCATTTTTTTGTTGCCCATTTTCAGTTGTTCTCTACCTCTATTAGCCCCCAATTAAAAGGGGCTACTAAGTGATATGGTGGGCTAGGTCCACATAGGCCTACTAAACAAATATAACAAATAGACCTAATAAAGTGGGCCAGTATGCTGTTAGCCTTCTTGGCCTAAAGGACACACTGTCACTTCATAAAATAAGATATGTCTACAGGCTGTCAGGCTTTCTTCATTTTCTTTTCAGCTGTTCCACCATTTTTAGTGAAATGTTTCATTTATAAAGGAGCTGCCAGTATTGGCTAAGTCATGATTGCACTCCTAGAAATGAATGTGCTTTAATATTAATCAGGCATTCAGGAGTTCAGTTATCATGGAAATGACTCCGTGTGTGTAATATTTCTGAAATTTCCACATCGAAGGCCAGATCATCAACTGGTATAATCTGGCACTTTTCCATTGATTTAATGGAACTATGCTTATTTATACAAGACAAAGATATAGTCCTGCATCCTTAACCTTATAATTTAAGCACCAGTCTGGCAAGATTTTAAGCATATATCTAATTTTATGCATGTGTGTAATCTCAAATAAATGTATAAATAATTGCCTTCAGGATCTAGGTTTTGGATGTACACACCTCTTCTTCCATTACAAAAAAGATAACTTTAATTTAAAGAAGTGAATGATAATTTATCATTTAAAATTATGAGAACTGTTGCAGCTGAATAATTTTGCACATGGATCTTTTTAGACAGAAACGGGGATTTTTCAGATGTGCTCAGCAGTGTGTTCAGCAAAATCAGTATGGCTCTAGGAAAATGCTGAGTGCTTTGGAGACTCACCCTAAATCTAATCATGCAGTTTTATTGCATTGTGTTTAACCTGGAGCTCTACTTATAGTTCTGCACTGTGGAAGGATTCATAACAGCCTTGGTGGATGAATTTCCAAAGTTATTACGCAATCGAAGAGAAATATTCATTGCCGTTGTCTGTGTTGTTTCCTATCTAATAGGATTGTCCAATATTACTCAGGTAAGGAGTGTAAAGGGTTTTTATCTTGCATGCTCACCTCATATTTTCAATCAGGTATGTTCAAGTGGCTGAAGAGAAAAATGTCTCTCTGAAGATGATTATTTCAAAGGTTATAAAATTTTAAATAAATACAGTAATGAATGAAGATAATAAACATTTTTCCCCCTAGGACCTATAATCTTTGTAATTAAGATTCAATAAGGAAGCAAATAGTACTCATGTAAAATTACATCTTCATGGAAGGGGTGTTGTGAGCCCTAATGAATGGTCAGATCAGGGCTGTCCTGTGGCCTGCAAAGGGTTAGACTTTGACCCTTGTATTCCCACTCAGCCACTGCTTCCCTCATCATTACAGCTGTAGCAGCAGCAGCCAGAGGCTCTGGCTTCCCCTTCTCTCTCTGCCTCCTGTCCTGCACCAGGGGGCAGGGCAGAGCAACCCAGCATAGGTTGTGGTACCAGGGAACCCCATGGTACAGGGCACCAGTGCAGCACAGTGCAGTGGAGGAGCCTACACCCAGGGAGCTGAAGGTAGAACTGGGGCACCTGTGCCATACACCCCTGTATGTGGTCATTATGGGGGGAGGGCAGAAGTACCCATGCACCAGATGCAGTGGGGGTGGATGGGCTGTCTGTATGCCTGGTGCAGCAAGGGACCTGGAGGGCAAATGGCTTATGCAGGTGTGGCCCCTACAGCATGAATCCTCCTCCTTCCCCCATTAACCTATCAGGGTGTACAGCTCCCAGCCACTAAGAAGTTGGCCAGCCCTGGGCCAGATCACCCAAGGATGCAAATCTGTATAACTTGTCATTTAAACTAAAGAAGTAAGCAGGTAACTTGTCCAGGCTTCATAGAACTCTTTGAGATCCAGGGTGACTAAGAAACAAAAAAGTATTATTTCTTCTCTGGGTTGCAAGTAAATACAGGGAAAATATTGAACTGAGAGTCAACCAGGAGTAGATCCAGAGCCACAGATCAACGTTACTCTAATTATTTGGGAACCATTGACTTTTGAAGAGGTAAATGATATGAACGTGAACATTTTACATATGTGTTTTATACATATACACTTTAATGATATGTGTGTATGTGTATCAGGGATGTGTGTGCGTGTACACACACACACACATATATATATATGAAATTGTATTCTGAGCTAAAATATTTTGCCATAATCTTGATCCATAACTTACAAAATTATGCATGAGAAATGTACAGCTACTTCTAAAATAAATCCTAAGGGAATGCATTAACTCTTTCTTTATTTTCTTTTTACATATTCTAGGGTGGAATTTATGTGTTTAAGCTTTTTGACTATTACTCTGCCAGTGGAATGAGTCTCTTGTTTCTTGTATTCTTTGAATGCATCTCCATATCCTGGTGCTATGGTATGTGATATGTTTTCCTTACACTGCATGTAGTGTACAACTATAAAACCTGTGAAAATTTTTAGCAATTCCACTTGCCTACCATGCCTGAAACCCTGTGTCTGGAAAGCTGCCTGTGCGTATGTTAGTGCAGGGTATACTCTATGACATTTCTCTCCATGTAGTTCCAGTGCACTTAAGGAGGTGTTCCATGAGTGGCTCAATATTTCTTTGTAAAGACACTTTAGAGTTTGAAAGATTTCCTTCAATCCAGCTCTTGGCATTTCTTTATTTTGTTTTGAAGTTTGAGTCCCACATGTTCAAAGGTGTGTCAGTACTGTTCTACTCAATGTTACAAGGCTTGGGACAAATGAATAGTCCCTCTTGTGCTCCCACTTGGGAAACACCGCACTTTAAACTTGGAATCTTGACCCCAGGACAGTGATGCTGAGGCCCGCTAAATAGTTAATGATCACTGAGCTTCATAACCACTTGCTCACTCCTTTTCGTCAGGCCCCATATATTCCCTCTCTTGGCTGCCATGGGCCATTTTTTGAAAGTGCACTACCTAACTCGTGGTGCTCTGGTGTGGTGCCAGAGGACTGGAAGAGGGCCAACGTGGTTCCCATCTTCAAAAAGAGGGAGGAAGGAGGACCCAGGAAACTATAGGCCAGTTAGTTTTACCTCAATCCTGGGTAAGCTTTTTGAGAGAATTATCGTGGGGGATGTTATGCTTAGGGGCAACCAACACTTGTTCATTAGAGGCAGGTCCTGTCAAACCAACCTGGTGGCCTTTTATGACCAGGTCACAAAATCCTTAGACACAGGGGTAGCAGTTGATGTAGTCTTTCTGGACTTTAGGAAGGCCTTCAACACTGTCTCTCACCCCATTCTCATTAAAAAACTAGGGGACTGTGGTGTTGACACCTACACAGTCAATTGGGTCACCAACTGGCTGGAGGGCCGCACCCAGAGAGTGGTGGTGGATGGGTCATTTTCAACCTGGAGGGATGTGGGCAGTGGGGTCCCCCAGGGCTCAGTCCTCAGGCCTGCACTGTTCAACATCTTCATCAGTGACTTGGATGAGGGGGTAAAAAGCACCCTCTTCAAATTTGCTGATGACACTAAGATGTGGGGGGATGTGGGCATGCTAGACAGGAGGAATAGGCTGCAATCAGACCTAGACAGATTACAGGGGTGGGCGGATGAGAACAGGATGGGTTTCAACACTGACAATTGCAAGGTGATGCACCTGGGGAGGAAGAACCAGCA